TTCCAGTCCCCCCTTGGGCCAAGAGATGAAAGTAGTCAGGCTCGTTTGAAAGCCGCCGCCGGGGCCAGGGAGAGCCCCTCTTTCGACTGCGATTTCCGCGTGGCCTCCCATCCTCCGCGGCCTCCCAGCTTCACCTCAGCAAGGGCGGAGCTACCACGGCGGCGGCGGCGGCTGCCGCCACGCGAAGCCCCCTCCTCCTCCCTCGCCGCCGCTCCGCCCTCCGGCCCCGCAGGAACAAAAGAGGCGGAGGCCGCGGGGAAAGCCGCCACGGCCAGAAGCGGCGGCAAGGCCTCCTCTTTCCCTCCCTCCTTCCTTCCTGCCCCTCCCTCCGCGGCCGGAGGGTCCCGCGGCCTCGAGGCGTTTCCGGTACGGGGGTCGCGCGGCGGGAGCGTCACGTGACGCGCGCGCGGGGACGCGCGCGGCAGGCGGGCGGGGAGGTGGGCCATGGCCGTTGGTCGGCCTCGCGCGGGGAGCAGCTGGGGTGGTGGTGGAGGTGGCGGCGGGACCCCTCGCCTCGCTTCTCCTCAGGGCGACTAAAGGCGTGGCGGGAAGCCGGATGGGGAGTCCTGTGGAGGAGGGCGGCTTCCCCGAAGTCTCGGCTCAGCTGTCACGGAGGGTGCGGGTGGGGTGGGGATGAGGAGAATGCCCGCCTTCGCTCCGGCTCTCGTGGGGTGATGATGTCCAGAGCCGCCTACGGGGCTTTGGCTGGCGGCCTCTCCCAAGGCTCCCATGCCTTGAACGGCTACTACATGCCGTCCTCGGCTTACGACCGTTCATTTGCTGACCCTTCCAAGTTAACCTTCAAAAAAAGGGACTTACGAGCTGCTGCTGCTGCTACATGTAGTCCTCGACTTATTTACTGACACTTCCAAGTTAGCATTCAAAAAAGGGACCTATGAAAGGGGTTGCTATATGCAGTCCTCGGCTTACGACCATTCATTTGCTGACACTTCTGAATTAACATTCAAAAAAGGGACCTATGAGCGGCTGCCACATGCAGTCCTCGATTTATTTACTCACACTTCCAAGTTAGCATTCAAAAAGGACCTATGAAAGGGGCTGCTACATGTAGTCCTCGGCTTATGACCGTTCATTTGCTGACACTTCCAAGTTAACATTCAAAAAAAGACTTTGAAGCTGCTCCATGCAGTCCTTGGCTTACGACCATTCATTTAGTGACCCTTCCAAGCTAACATTTTTTTAAAAAAGAGACTTGGGGCTGTTTTTTGCACTCATGACCTTTGCAGCATTGTCCATGATCACTTGATCAAAATCTGGACCCTTGCAAGCTGCTTCACCTTTATGACCGGTTGCTGCGTCCCAAGGTCCTTGGTGCAACCTCCTGATGAGCAAAGTCAATGGGGAATCCAGATTCATTTTAACAGCCTGTTTACTAACGTAAGAACTGTGGTGATTCAATTACCCGGGACAAGAAAACAGGCTAAAATTCACCGTTTGCAATGTCACGTGGTTCACCTTTTGCATCCTTCTGATGAGAAAAGTCAACCACCAGATTCACTTAACAAGCGTGTTCCTAATTTAACAACTGCAGAGATTCCCTTAAAAGCTGAGGCGAGAGAGGTCGTAAAATGAGGCAAAAGTGGCTTAGCGAAGGTCTCGCTTAAGCAACAGGAACGTTGGGCACGATTGCAGTCATAAGTCGAGGACTACCTATAGTGTCTGAACTGTCTCAGGATAGGTAGCAGTTCCATAGGCAGCTCTTTTCCCTTGGAATGGCCAGTCCGATCCTGCTTGGCGTGGTGTGTGTGTGTGTGTGTGTGTGTGTGTGTGTCCTCCTCTTTTGAGCCCCCACAGCAATCAATATCCAGATTGGCCAT